CCGGCCAGAAAAGGGGCAGCGGCGGCGACCGCTGCGGCGAAGAAGGAGGAGGAGGAGGAGGCGGAGGAGAAGGAGGGTGAGGAAACCCGGAAAAGGGGCCGCACTCGCCAGGAGCGGCCGCGGCCCAACCCGGGGCCTCCCGGGCCCACAGCGCCCCCTGCAGCGCGGGGGGACCGTGGCCGCCGCCTACTGGGCACAGTGGCTGGCCCCGGCTCCCCACCTGGGGTCCTCCCCCTCGACTGCTGCCCCTTTCAGCAGAGTTCAGCCACCTCGTGTCCACTCACCGGGACCTCCCAGGCCGACCCTGGCCTGACCCAAGTCCCGCCCCACCTCCCACCTCACCTCACCTCACCTCACCTCACCTCACCTCAAACTTTCCCCCTCCCTTTACCTTCTCCTCCCCCGCTGGACTCCACCCTACCATCCGCAGACCACTTCAACCCCAAGACTTCCCATTCTCTCTGTGTCCTCCCCCAAATTCCTTTCCAGGGCTTCTCTGAGAGTTCTCCGAGATGCCTCTTGGGGTACTTGGGTAAACTAGAGTCGGCCAGGTGGTTTCTCCTTTGCATCTAATCAGTAATTTGTGGGAGATACTTTGAGACTGTAAATATCTGGGTTTTGTTTGGGAGCAGGTAGGAGAATTCTGCCGGGAGGGACAGGCTAGAGGTTAGGGATGATGGGTCACTGCCTTTTTAAGCCTCAAATATTCTTCTTTCTTTGATCTTCTGGATCTTTTTTTAATTTTCTTTTCTTTTTTTTTTTTTTTTTTTTTGAGACAAGGTCTCCTTGTAGCCCCAGCTGGCCTGAAACTTGCTATGTAGATCAGGCTGGCCTCTATCTCACAAAGATCCACCTGGCTCTGCTGGGATTAAAGGTGTGTGCCACCACACCAGGCTCCCTACACCAGGCTCTGTTAATAAAGAATCTTCTTTTCCCAGCCGGGGTTATTCTGACTCCAAATCCTTTTCACACTGTTTTCTAGATGAGACTTTGTTCCCTCTTTCTTCATATACCTAATTACCCAGGTTTGAATCCCAGCTCTGCAGCTTACAAGTTATGTGAATTTGTGCCAATGACTTTGCCTCTCTGTGCTTCAGATTTTGTAGCATAACCCAGTAATGGCACCTACTCCACAGAGCTGGGTAGAGAATTAAAATAAACTATGCAAACACTTAGGACTGTGTTCAGTATTAAGATATTAAGTGCCCATGCTGTTATTAAACCCTATCATTCTTCCTTCCCTGAGACCACAGCAGGCCCTCTTTCAGTTCCTTCTTGTCTTTAAACTTGGCCAGGGGCACTTCTGCCTTCTCACCCCTGACTCTGTTTTCCTTTTCAAGTCTCACCTTAAAGGCCACTTTATCTGGAGTTGATACTTCTGTCTCTCAGCAACTTGTCCACATCCTTCATAGAACTGCAGCTTGACAATGAATTCTTTCCTGATTCATCGTCTGTCCCCCTCCTGTGAAAACAGCATGAGAACGAGAGTGGGGTGCTCACCACCAGGTCACCTAGTACTTGCTACAGCCAAGATACCTTCAGTGAACATGGTACTGCTCCATGTTGGTTACAAAAGAAACCCTGAAGGTCACCACACACATGCCAAACATTATAGAGATGAAGTATTATAATTTCTGCAATTTATTCTCAAGTGATTTTGCAAAAAAACCATGTAGGTTCCCAAAAGAATAACTATACATGGAAGATGGCACAACTGGTTGACAGCTAAGTAAATAAAATACCTGAAAGTGTGTGTGGCAGTAAATGCCTGTAATTCCAGCACTTGGGACTGAGAGGCAGGAGGGTCAAGATCTCCGAGGCCTGCCTGAATTGCATAGCAAGCCCTTGTCACAAAACAAACAGAAGAGCCCATGAGTTTTCAACTTCTGGCAAATTGAAACATTTTCCAAATAAAAACTGGAAGAAAAGAAAGCATTTGGAGAATAAGAGGACTTTGACATTCAATTCCCAAACCTACTAGCCTCTTTCAATTTCTGACTTGACATTCTTACAATCTGCTTTAAGATTTTTTTTCTTAAAATTTCCTGTGAACTAGTGTGAACCAGAATCTTAATCCTAACCTTGGGTGAGCCTTCTCAGTTCCAAAACCCCCTGACTCTTTAGAATTTATAGACAGTGCACATGACTGTGTGCTTGTGGGTATGTTCTTCCCTCCCCATGCATCAGATTCTCAAAGGAGGCTATGTCCTAAAAAGGATTCTAAGCCATTGCCACTGACCTTAGGACTATGTCCAAGCCCAGCCAGGGCCCCATTTGAATGAATTCTTTCCCACCCTTGCCCACCTCTATAGCCCCACCTAACCTCCCTGCTCCAGTCTCTCATTCTTCACCACCTAACCCACACCCATCTCTCATACCCTGATCCCACACCTGTAGATGCCTGAGGAATCACCCACACACCGCTCTGGTGCAACACACTCCAGATTTGGCACATACTTCACTGGCTCAGCCCTGAAACCTTCAGCCAGCCCTCCCACAGCCAAATGGAAGATGTTTTTATGGCTTGTTGTGAGGTAGGATAGGTGCCCTACAGAACTGGCAGAGACCCCACTGCCTTTCCTTTATGCAGCCGGTTTGGCAGGAGTTGATGTGAGGTAGTACCCATGCAGCCTCAGCTGAAAGAACCTGGCTTGGGTTTGTGAAGGGCCAAGCAGGTGTCTCTGCACAGGTAGGTGGCAGGGAGAGCCCAGAATTGACTAGAGCCTTGTATTGATTTCTCTTGTTTACTGTGTGCCCTTTAGAAGTATGATCAGGGTTATGTAGAGGACAAGGCAAGAAGGCACCTTGACTCAGATCAGTGTTTTCCCACCGGCTCCTCCTCTAGCCCTGAGTTCTAGCCAAACACCCAAAGTTTCCCCAACAAAAACAAATACATTTTTAAAATCTTAGAGCATTTTCTGTCTTTTTTCACTTGGTACTGGGGGCGAAACCCTGCCCCCCATCCCCCCCACAAAAATTATTAAAATGATGAGCAAAGCTAAAAGCCATTGAGTTTATACTTTAAATGAGTAGGCTGTATGATATATGAATTATATCTCAATGAAGCTGTTACTTTTTTTTTTTTTTTGCTGGGCATGGTGATGCACACCTTTAATCCCAGCACTCGGGAGGCAGAGGCAGGCAGATCCCTGGGAGTTCAAGGCCAGCCTGGTCTACATAGTGAGTTCCAGGTCAGCCGGGCCACAGGGAGACACTGTCTCAAAAAGACAAAAAAAAAAAAAATGTATTTTTTCAAAGGCCTATTTGGAGATTCAGGCAAATACATTTTCTCTCATTTGAGGAAACTAAAATATATGCATGTTTATATATGTATGTTTGTAGGCCACAGAAATGGAAAGGGGACCATGAGAGGAGAGGAAGGTTTTTTTTTCATTTTTGTTTATTGGGAGTAGGGGATGGTATATGCTACAATATTCATGTTAGAGGTCAAAGACAACTTGCAGAGTCATTTCTTTTCCACTTGTGTGTTCTGAGGATGAAACTCAGGTCATGAAGCTTGGGGATAAGTGCTCTCACCCACTGAGCCATCGCCACAGCCAGGGAGGAAGAGATCTACAGGCAGTGGGAAATAGGGTGAAGGAATGCATGAAATAGGAAAACAGAAAGGAAGACTAGCTGAAAAAAAGAAAACAAACCAGCTAGAGGGGGCACGTGGGAGGGCAGAGGGGGAGGGGAATGATTGAGAACAGAGTCTAAGACATTTAAGTGTGAAGATGCTGGGATGAAGCCCAATACTTCGTATTCTAATCTAGATAAATAACCAAAGAAGAATTAAAGGTTTGGAGATGGTCCACTGGAACAAAGTGCTTGCTGTGCAAGTATGAAGACCTAAGTTCAAATCTCCAGCATCTACATAGCCTTGAGTACCTGTACTCCAACACTGTAGGGTGA